AATAGAATAGAATAGAATAGAATAGAATAGAATAGAATAGAATAGAAAATATGGAATGGAATGTAATAGAATGGAATGGAATGGGATAGGATAAGATAGGATAGGATAGGACAGGATAGGACCGGACAGGATAGAAAAGAAAATATGTAATGTAATGTAATGGGATTAGGATTAGGATTAGGATTAGGATTAGGATTAGGATTAGGATTAGGACTAGGACTAGAATAGAATAGAATAGAATAGAATAGAATAGAATAGAATAGAATAGAATAGAAAATATGGAATGGAATGTAATAGAATGGAATGGAATGGAATGGAATAGAATAGAATAGAATAGAATAGAATAGAATAGAATAGAATAGAATAGAATAGAATAGAATAGAATAGAAAATATGGAATGGAATGTAATAGAATGGAATGGAATGGGATAGGATAAGATAGGATAGGATAGGACAGGATAGGACCGGACAGGATAGAAAAGAAAATATGTAATGTAATGTAATGGGAATAGGACTAGGACTAGGACTGGGGCTGGAACTGGAACTGGAACTGGAACTGGAACTAGAACTAGAACTAGAACTAGAACTAGAACAGAACAGAATAGAATAGAATAGAATAGAATAGAATAGAATAGAATAGAATAGAATAGAAGAGTTGGAAGGGACCTTGGAGGTCTTCTAGTCCAATCTCCTGCTCAGGCAGGAAACTCTACATCATTTCAGACAAATGGATTTCCAATCTCTTCTTAAAGTCTTCCAGTGTTGGAGCATTCACAACTTCTGGAGGCAAGTGGTTCCACAATTAACAAGGCTCATCCAACCTTGTTATTTTTGGAATGAGGGCACCTCTGAAGGGTGAGAAAAGCAGCAGATGGATATGGCTGGCTCAAGACATTAGGAGCGAAGTCAAAATATTATAACAGGTAGTCCTCGACCATACGACCAGAATTGAACCCAACATTTATGTGGTTAAGCAAGATATTTGTTAAGCGAATATTGCCTTATTTTATGACTTTCCATGTCATAATCGCTGCAGTTATTAAGTTAGTAGCATGGTTGATAAGTGAATCCGGCTTCCCCATTGACTTTGCTTGTCAGAAGGTCGCAAAAGGGGATCATAGGCCCCCGGGACATTGCAACCGTCATAAATATGAATTAGTGGATAAGCCTCTGAATTTTGATCACGTGGTCATGGGGATGGTGGAACGGTCGCAAGTGTGAAATATGGTTGTAAGTCGCTTTTTCCAGTGCCCGCTGTAAATTTGAACGGTCGCTAAATGAACACTTGTAAGTCGAGGACTACTTGTATTAGCTCAGGTGAGCAGCAGCATCAGTTTGAGTATATATTTTTCTGTTAAGGTAAAAGGATTTAGGACCCAGGTACAAACGTCACGCTTTTTGTAGACGTTTGGATCAACAACTGAGGGAAAAGTACAGAGGTACAATTTATTGCATCCGCCTAGGAAAAGCTGGGTGTTCAATGTTAGCAAACTGACAATACACACTATACTCAGCTGCCTTAATCTACATCTTATTAGGTTAGATAAAAGCATCCTTTGCTGTTCACCGGGGATACCAAGTGGTACCAAAGGGGGACCAGTTATCATTTGCCCAGTTAGTTTGCTATTCGCTAGGGCTAAATCAGATCCAACTAGTGCAGGAGTATCCAAATTTGGCAATTTTAAGACTTGTGGACTTCCGTTTCCAGAATTCCTCAGCCAGCTATTAAGAGAGTTGGAAAGGATCTTGTAGGTCATCTAGTCCAACCCCCTCTGCTCAAGCAGGAGACCTTACACCATTTCTGACACATAGCAGCCCAGTCTCTTCTTGAAAGCCTCCCACAACTTCTGAAGGCAATTTCTGTTCCATGGATTGATTGTTCTCACTGTCTGAAAAGTTTCTCCTTATTTCCAGGTTGGATCTCTCCTTGTTCAGTTTCCATCCATTATTCCTTGTCTGGCTTTCAGGTGCTTTGGAAAATAGCTTGACCCCCTCCTCCTCTCTGTGGCAGCCCCTCAAATAGTGGAAGACCTCTATCATGTCTCCCCTGGTCCTTCTCTTTACTAGACTAGCCAAGCCCAGTTTCTGCAACCATTCATTATATGTTTTAGCCTCCAGTCCCATTATCATCTTGATTGCTCTTCTCTGCATTTTTTCTAGAGTCTTGACATCTTTTTATAGTGTGGTGACCAAAACTGAATGCAGTACTCTCGGTGTGGTCTTACTAAGGCTTTATAGAATGGTATTAGTACCTCACTTGATCTTGATTGTATATCCCTCTGTTAATGCAACTTAGGACTGCATTGGCTTTTTTTTGCTACTGCCTCACACTGATGGCTCATATTTAACTGGTTGTTCACTAAGACTCCAAGATTACTCTCACAATTACTGCTATTAAGCCTGGTTTTATCCAGTCTACATGTGTCCTTTTGGTTCTTCTTGCCCTGTAGGACTTTACTTTTCTCTACATTGAATTTTAAAGTGGCCACATTTGGAGACCTCTGCCTTACGGTATTAAAGATATTATGCTGTCAAGTCAGTTGAAATATTAAGGAAACCCTAGTTTTTGGAAGAGGAGTAAGGGTGAAGATTGCATCTAGGTTGGTTTGGGGTTTTAAGAGTAAAAGGGGGGAGATGAATTTTTCAAACCATTTATGATGGGACTGGAACACCCGAATATTATTTTATCTGTCCTTTTTCCCCCCAAATTGTTTTCAGCTTTATCTTGGGAATATTGATTCTAGCATATTGTTGAAATGCCTCAGCTTTAGACTGGAACGATGTGAATCTCCCATGCATGTGAACTTTTAAAAAAACAACTCAAAAAATTAAAAGCTTCATCATGAAATATTGTTTTGAACTATTTTAGAAAGCGATTCAAGTGCTCACCATATGTTATATGGCTGCTATAGTCTTATATAGGGAAAGGCCCAAATGATGGAATCCTTCAGCTGCAAATATCTGGACTGAAGTAGGAATTGTATTTTCTAAATAATGGCATATCATATACCAAGAGAGGGAATCTTGGCAAAAGTTCATAATATAAGCAGTGTAAAATGAGGAATTGTTTTGTATGAAATTTCCTTCCAGCTAGGCCATTTTCGGAGTTGCTTTATCTTCAATGCAGTCTGTTCTAACCACCAAAAAAAAAAAAAAAAGCTTTTTAAATGATGGCACTTGGCATTCAAACATGATCTATTTTGGCTTTCAGATAAAAAATTTTTCCAAGCTTCTTTCCAAGAAATGTAACATTTTAAATTGGTTACATTACTGTAACCAATGAACAACTTAAAATTCATCCAGAGCAGACAGAAATATTTATGCCCAAAGTATGTTATATGGTTAATAAAGTTCAGGTTTTATTGTAAAGAAATCTGGACCAGGAATAAATACCTCCCAAACAGCGTAAGGATGCTTAGGAATAAAATGCACTATTTCATAGAATCTTAGAGGTGGGGAAGGGACCACAGAGGTCTTCTAGTCCAACCCTCCTGCATAAGACAGGAATGTATATTCCATCTTGGACAAATCTTTTCTTGAAAACCTCCAGTGATGGAGCACCCACAACTCCGTGAGGCAAACAATTGATTAATTGTTCTCACTGTCAGGAAATTTCTCCTCAGTTCCAGGTTGGATGTCTCTTCAATGAATTTCCACCTGTTGCTTCCTGTCCTGCCCTCTGGGGCTTTTCTGTGACAGCCCCTCAAGTACTGGAAGACAGCTATCCTGTCTCCCCTAAGTCTTCTCCTCACTAGGCTAAACATAACCAGTCCCTACAACTGTTGATCGTACCTTTTAGTCTCCAGACCTCTGGTCATTTTTGTTGCTTTTCTCTGCACTCTTTCTAAGGCCTCCGTATCTTTTTTGTACTTAAATGGCTCATATAAATTGTGATCTTGCAAAGCTCAAAACTTAGGTTGTTCTTAAATATATCCCTTAAGTGACGTTATTAAAAACCATCACGTAGGATGTGTAGCAAATGTCACTGTGACCATCACAAGAGTCATGGTGGCCCAGTGGTTAGAATGTAGTATTGCAGGCTGACTCTGCTCACTGCCAAGAGTTCAATCCTGACCAGCTCAAGGTTGACTCAGCTTCCTTCCTTCCTTCCTTCCTCTTTTATTCCCTTTCTCCTTCTCCTTCTTGGTAGTGCAGTGGTTAGAATGCAGTATTGCAGCTGACTCTGCTCACTGTCAGGAGTTTGATCCTGACCGGCTCAAGGTTGACTCAGCCTTCCATCCTTCCGAGGTCGATAAAATGAGGACCCAGATTGTTGGGGGCAAGAGGCTGACTCTGTAAACTGCTTAGAGGGGTCTGGAAAGCATTGTGAAGTGGTATATAAAGTTAAGTCTAACTAGTATACAGGTAGATGTTGACTTACAGCAGTTGATTTAGTGACCACTCAAAGTGGGTGGGGCCAGCTTAACCCCACTCCCCAAACTGTTGGCATGTTTCCTCTTCCCATTGGGTAAACTGGGCTGAAGCTACGCTGGCCTGATCTTTCTTCCAATCTGTCCTCTTTGTCTTGGGTAGACCAGGACGGCCCCATGGGCCGAATCCAACCACATTGAGGGCTGGATCCATCCTGCGGGCCTTGAGTTTGACACCCGTGCTCTACTAAATTCCCCCAAAAAAGGAGGGGACTCCCTTCTTTCAGATTTGTCAGATCACAGGAACGGTAAATCCGTGATCAAGATGTTGTTAAATTACACACGTGCAAGTGGTCAGAATTAGGGCTGCTAAGATGATTGATAGCTCAGTAATGTTTGATACACCACAGGCTTCCTGCCACTACGTATTTGCTAACATAGCCTAGTCTTCCCAAATAAATAAATATTAATTGCCAAATTTTTGAACCACGAGACCTCAAATATGGTTAACAATAGCAATAGCACTTAGACTTATATACCGCTTTATAGTGCTTTACAGCCCTCTCTAAGCGGTTTACAGAGTCAGCCTATTGCCCCCAACAATCTGGATCCTCATTTGACCCACCTTGGAAGGATGGAAGGGTGAGTCAACCTTGAGCCTGGTGGGATTTGAACTGGCAAATTGTAGGCAGCTGGCTGCAGCAGAAGTAGCTTGCAATACTGCACTCTAACCACTGCACTACAGAGGCACCTATTACTTATAGAGTTACTTATAGAATTAGAAATAAAAAAAACCAACACAAACCACACTGAAGTAATTAACACAGCAGGCCAAGATTATAAATTGCAGACTTTCAAAGGATAACCCAGCACCCACAGTTGGGAGGACGCCAAAACCCAGATAAGGCTCGACCAAGATAATGCACGCTTTGCTTCCAGGAAGGAGCCGTGTGCAAACGCCTCACTTATGTCCTGTTCTCCCAGCTGCAACCAATGAAAGGGATCAGGACCTTTTTCTCTCTCGCAAGCCATGTTGCTCCCTTATCCATTCCTCCCTGCGTGCCCAAGGATGAAGAGGGGGGTGGGCCTGGTTCTTCCTCTGAACGTCCAGCCGGCCTGGGACATGACAGAAGGCTATAAAGCACTGCAAAGTGGTATAGAAGTCTAAGTCCTATTGCTATTCTCCCTTATTCTAATACTGCCTCAAGATGCCCAAAATCTTTTAAAATGGCTTTTTCACCATTAATCTGGAGGGGACGTCAGGTGACTGCCGGTAACTGGGAACCAGAAGTCCAGTGGGGGGGGTGTTAATGGGTCAAATGGTTGCCATGGTAATGCAATCAAAGCTCAGCTAAGTATTTGATCACCTAGATATTTGAAACAATAATACTCTGGCTCCTGACATCTCCAAATGATAACTCCAGCACATTCATATAAGAACCAACATTTCATTCTTTATAAAGTACAAATGAAATGTTGCACCTTAACAAAAATTTGTGTAAGAAAAAAAATTCAGGACCGTGTGAATAGTCTTGCTTATTTCAATGACATTAAATGCCAGTGAGCTAAATGATTTATAATAATTGGGAAACATCTGGAAGACCTTTAAAAATAATAATAATGAAGTGTTACATTCCTGCTTGGTGCCAAAACCAGAAAGTTATGCAATGCCACTATTATAGGAAATCACTCTCATCCTTTTAAATGACTGTTTTCAGAGAACATCGTGCCCAGCACCACTTTAGTAGCAGAGTCACTGCTACTTCTACAAATAACTGGCCATAACAGACTTGTTTCAGTGACCTTTTCTTCGAAATAAATCAATCTGTTTTCCCTGAAATGACAGTAGTAAAAATCACGAGGCCAGCTCTTATCCACCCAGAAAAAGCCAATCTCAGAGGTTGAGAACAGCTGCTGTAAATCTTTTGAACTGTCGCATAGTACTAAGGTTATGATAACATGTTTGCCCCTAAGAGTTCTTATAGCAGATCTCAATGACTGTAAGATATTTTATTGAAGGAGATGATAGAAAGATGGACGGAGGGAGGATGGGAGGAGGGAAGGGAGAAAAGGAAGGAGGAAAGAAAGAAAGAAAGAAAGAAAGAAAGAGAGAGAGAGAGAGAGAGAGAGAGAGAGAGATCTCAATGACTGTAAGGTATTTTATTAAAGGAGATGGTAGAGAGATAGAGGGAGGGAGGAGGGAAGGGAGGGAAGGAAGGAAGGAAGGAAGGAAGGAAGGAAAGAAAGAAAGAAAGAAAGAAAGAAAGAAAGAAAGAAAGAAAGAAAGAAAGAAAGAAAGAAGGAAGGAAGGAAGGAAGGAAGGAAGGAAGGGAGATCTCAATGACTGTACGATATTTTATTAAAGGAGATGATAGAGTGATACAGGGAGGAAAGATGGCAGGGTGGAAGGGAGGGAAGGAAGGAGTAAGGAAGGAAAAAAAGAAGGAAGGGAGGGAGATATCAATGACTGTAAGATATTTCATTAAAGGAGATGGTAGAGAGAGGGAGGGAATAAGGGAAGGAGGGATGGAGGAAGAAAGGAAGGAAGGAAGATCTCAATGACAGATATTTTATTAAAGGAGATGGTAGAGAGATGGATCGATGAAAGGATGGTTGAATGGAAGGAAGGAAGGAAGTTCTTGACTGCACAGAATACTTTATTCTTCATACATATTCTAACACCAATAAAAAAAAACTTTTCTTTTTTGGAAATACAATCTCATCACAACTGCATCCTTGGGTACCATGTTAGCTAAGTCAAAATAGCCTGTTACTCGTGATAACAGCCATCTCCCTCCCTCTCCCTAGGCTACATGCTTCTGCCAGGGGACTGTTCCAATTATTTCGCCGCTGGAAAGCGGCAGAATGGCATCTACAAAATCACCCCAGATCCCAGAAACCATAGCTTTGATGTGTATTGCGATATGGAATCCTTCGGAGGGGGCTGGACCGTGTTCCAGATGCGCCAGGATGGCAGCGTCTCCTTCAACCGAACCTGGGAGGACTACAAGAACGGCTTTGGAAACGGTAAGGAGTTCTGGCTAGGGAACGACAAAATTCACCTCCTGACCAAAAGCAAGGAGATGGAGCTGAGGATCGAGCTGGAAGATTTCAACGGTGTCCGAGAATACGCCAAATATGACCAGTTCTACGTTGCCAACGAGTATCTCAAATATCGGTTAACCATCGGCACCTACACTGGCACTGCCGGGGACTCCTTGAACTTCAGGAAACCCTACAACCATGATCAAAAGTTCTTCAGCACCCCAGACAGGGACAATGACCAGTACGCTTCAAGCAACTGTGGAGCCTATTATAGCTCAGGATGGTGGTTTGATGCTTGTCTGGCTGCCAACCTCAACGGCAAATATTATAACAAGAAATATAAAGGGGTGCGCAATGGTATTTTTTGGGCCACGTGGCCTGAAGCTTCGGATCACAACATGAACGGTTACAGAAAAGCTTTTAGAAAGGTTAAAATGATGATGAGGCCCAAAACGTTTTTGCCATGAATCTTTCCCCCGCTCCCAAAATCCAATTTGTCCAATCTTGGCACTTTCCCTCAGAATTTGAGTGCAATTTAAGAATATTCTGTTACATTTCTTTTTTTAAAAAAATATCTTTCTCTTGCAAGCATTCCTCTCCCAAAGTACATGGACATCTTTTCCTGACCAAATTCATGATACTACACACCAGAAAGGTCTCCAAATTTGGCGATTTTAAGACTTGTGGACTTCAATTCCCAGAGTTCCCCAGGCCAGCCATGACGAAGGGCTCAGAATTCTGGGAGTTGAAGTCCACAAGGCTTAAAGCGCTCCATCATGGATACATCTTTCTTTCTTTTCTTTTCTTTCCATCACTCTTTCTTTTAATTTGTTTCTTTCTCTCTTTCTTTTTTTCTTTCCCTTCCTTCCTTCCTTGATGTTTTTAAAAAGACTCTAGACAATCACTTATATGAAATGGTATAGGTTCTCCTGTTTGAGCAGGGGGCTGGACTAGAAGACCCCCAAGGTCCCTTCCAGCTCATTCTATTCTATTCTATTCTATTCTATTCTATTCTATTCTATTCTATTCTATTCTATTC